CCATCAGGGCGAACATTTTGGTTTGCCAGACTCAACAATCTCATCTCTCCTCCCTCCGTGTGATGCTCAAGGGACTCTCCCAATTCCCTTTCCAAGACAATTTCAAGGGCACAGGGGGAGAGGGAAAGTCTCACTGTGTATGCCAAAGTCCTTGTGCAGAGCTTATGCTGTCAGGACTTATTAGCAGAATTCCACCCCAAGGCTCAAACTATGGAACACCAGCAAAGCTACCTCTCTGAACTGCTCAGTTCAAACTTAACAATCCTGGTCAAAGAAACGTTGCTTTGCTGAATCAGGAGCACACTGCATACTCCTCTTTCCCCTCTCTTGCCTTCCTTAATACCATATAATACGTCCATAAAACTGTCTCAAAACCACTTTCTGTGATGTCCAACCATAGTTTAATAGGCTGGATCAAAGGGGTCACTCAGAACATACTCTCTTGGTTTGAACATCTCAGGAAACTGTGGCTTAAGATACAATGTAGAATGGAAATAAAGTGCACAAGAGTGAAAAGGAAGAGCACAAGGACACAGACTCTCACATCTGAACTGACACATTCACCAACTCAATCAACACATCAGCTCCAAAAGCGAGCTGCCCATCCTAGCTGCTTCAAAAGAAGACAGCATTGATAAGAAAGTACCTCACTCCTAAAATGTTAAGGAGTCTGAGGACTACAACTCTGGGTAGAAAGTGGTACTGACTAATCACAAGTTAGAAAGAAGCTCATAAGCATCTCACATAGCCTGAGTTTTTGTTTTTTGTTTTCCCTAAATCAACACTGCTCTTTTCTTCCTTTAAAAGGTTACAGATACAGGGAGGAATGTGCAACGGAAATGTCTTTGTAATGTATCCCAAAAAGAACACTGTGCTCTACTCCCTCCATCCCCAAGAGAAAATGAATCCTGATAAAAATCATCTCCTTCGCATGTATGCAGGCATATTCTTTCTTTCTTTCTTTCTTTCTTTCTTTCTTTCTTTCTTTCTTTCTTTCTCTTACCCACACTCACACACTTGCCTTCAAACCTTCTTCCATAAAGGTTTATGTCTGCTGAAAGAGTGGAGTGAAGTCTGTAGCTAAAGGATGCTACCAGAGACCAGTTAAAGTCTTTAAAGCATACACTTTTGTGGCTTTCTTCTAAAGTTACATACGTTTACATAAAAAATAAGTATGTGAAAAGGAATTTGCTCTCCTAGTTCATTAATACTCATGTGAGCCAGAAATGGAGAGCTAAACAGGGACCTAAAACAGACAGTGACTTGTTCAAACTGCAATCCTATACACACCAGGGGATAAGACCCATTGAACTCAGTGTGGTTCAGTTTAGCCATGCACAGGATTGCTCTGTCAGTGCTGATTCTGGTAACTGTAAGATTTCACAGTGATATCTCACAGGAATGAACAGAGGGTGATGTAAATTGCACTCAGCAGGCATTAGGGTGGGGTTTGGGAAGAAAAACTGAAACAAACAAAATCATAGCCCCAAGAATTCATACAGATATTTTCACGGTGGGACTACAAACAAGCTATTACATCCATGGTTCATATGCAAACCCTGACACCACTGTTATTTCTTCTTCTTCAGGGGTTGTCTGCTTACTTCTGAAGGTCAAGTTATAACTCTGCCTGAGGAGAAGAAAGGTTACCATTCTTGATATATCGTAGTAACTCAGCAGTTGTACCAGTTTGTGGGCACATTCCCTTGCAGGAGTTACTATCAGCAATGTGATGACCTCACTGCTATCACACAGTTTATCATCAATGCCCAAGATGATTCCTCAATTTTCTCCTTCAGAGTAAGTGGGAAAGTCTTTTTAAAAAGTCAGATAGTCAGGAAGAGGATCAAGGAGACTGATGAGCTTATCATGAACAAGTTTAAAATACAACTTGACAAGGCATAGGAAGCCCTTTGAACAAGCTCTTCCGTGGAACAGAGGAAGGCATTTTAAGGACCAAGAGCCCAAAGATAAAGCCGGAAAGGTACAAATTAGAAACTAAGGCATCGTTTCTTCCAAATGAGAGGACAGGAAGTAAAGGGCAGGAATAGATTCCACATCATTTCTGCTCTTAGATCAATATTCGCTATTCTGAAAAACAACAACTCTCTTTTAGCTGATTAATATTCTACAGCCTTTTAAATGTTTCTGTGGGGATTATTGTTTTGCTGCTTTGTTTTACTTATTTACTTGTTTTTATCCTGTATTTTATTCTGTGAGCCATCCTGAGATCTTAAGATGAAGAGCGGCTTACAACACATAAATCTTAATAATTAAATAAAATAAACAACCACCTGACTTTTAGAAGACATCTGAAGGCAAACCTGTATTGGAAAATTTTTAATGTCTAATGTTTTACAATTTTTTTATGTGTTGTAAGCCACCCAGAGTGGCTGGGGAAACCCAGCCAGATGGGCAGGGTATAAATAATAAAATTATTATCATCATCATTATCATCATCACTATTATTTTAACAACAACAGTTTTTAAAAACTTTGGCACCATCTGCACTATACCTTTAAAGCTGCATCTTGCCACTTTAAACAATCATAGCTTCCTCAAGGATTTCTGGGAACTGTTGCTTGCTAAGGGTAATGAAAGATACTAATTTAAATATATAATGCAGATGGGGCCTTACTGTAATAATGCAAGTAATTACCTTCTTTTTGTCTTCCAGGAATAGGATGTCAACCAGCATGGTTGCAGTGAACATGTAACAGAGATCAATGGAAGGGCCACAGCCAGTGTTAGAAACTGAGATATGAAAGCAAGGGGCTAAATGGCACCTTAAACCTAGGTTATGGGCTCTGCAATGGAGTATCTAGGTGTGCTTTTTTTATAACAAGAATACAAAGCTGAAAATGAATGAACTGCAGCTAAAATCTTATGTTCATTTTTCACATGGTCTAGTCCTCATCTGAAGACTGCAAAAAACAAAGCCACACTTCACCTATCCCGCCCCCCTAATATTCTTATGAGGGTCCCTTCCCCAGTCTTCAGAGAGTGGTTGGAAGTGGGGTGGCAGGAAAAGGTCCTCCTTCCTGCTGGAAGCAGCAGTGGCAATTTTAATCTGAAATCTTAGACTCAGTACTGCGCCCAGAGCTCAGAAACTTCTCGCGTTAATGAAATTCCCTGTTGTAAAACGTGCCCAGAACAATGGGAGTTTCGAACGCTGGCCACAGCTCACTGACAGACCACATGCTTTGCATGAAAAAGGCCCCAGTCTCAATCCATGGGATCTTCAGGTATGGCTAGGAAATAGAAAGCCCTGGAGAGCCACTGCCAGTCACTTGACCTTGCTGAGCTAGACAGGCCAATGGCCTGACTTGCGATAAGAGTTAAACATTAGCAAGTGTCAAAGAAGAGTGAGCCAACGTTCCAAGTTAACTCTTTGTCAGCAAACACACAAGTTTCACAGATTTGGCAGAGTGTTGGGCCTAATAAGCACAGCGACTCAACTCCCCTTAGGTCTTTCCCCATGAAACAGTTGCTGAGAGTGAAAGTCCCCACCTTCCCACAGGTGTATAAGCCCCCTCTTCTCCAGGGCTTTTCCCAACCAATTGGGGACTGCGCCTGCATCTCCCTCTTGGTATCTCTTCTGGTCCTGGGAAACCATGTGGAAGGGAGCTTGTCTGAGCAGAAGGGAGAGACATCCCGGCTTCTTCACCAGCCTGACTCATCTCTGCCTTTTGGCACCCCCGCCCCCCACTTGCTTCAGTTTCTGATTCCGGACCTCTTTCTGCCACTGACTCTCTCAGCTCACTAAGCCCTTTTACCTCTTCATCTTCAGACACCTCTTCCTAGTCTTCTCCCTCTTCTCCCTGTGACCACTCATCATTGTCCCACCACCACTCCCCAGGTACTGAGTCTTCTTCCCTTGGTAGTTCCTCAGCTTGTTCCTCCCATCATTCCTCTGCGTCCAAACAATCCGTGACAGCAAGTGCATGTACAACAAAATAAGCAACACCCTCCTTTAAGCCACCTAGCAGAATGGAAGTTAACACTTGTTTAACATTCTTCATGCTGGTATCCTGTAAATCAAGCTGTTGGCCTTATGACATTTAATCCTGTTGTTGAACATGAACCATTCCTCAATATAAACCCCCACCCCTACAAGGCTGCAACAGGATCTAGTTCTGTACTGTGTGCTGTAGCAAGGCAGGAAAACTGCAACATACCAAGTCAGACTATTGATCCGTCTAAGTACTGATGCCCTACACAGACTGGCTGGGGATTCAGAGATACAAGAATTGAAGCTGGGACCTTCTGCTTGCAAAGCAGATGCTCTACCCCTTTCATACATATATATGTGTGAAAATTGCAAAGACAATGTCCTGTCTTGACACGCTGGACTGGTGGGAAGAAGAAGAAGAGGAGGAGGAGGAGGAGGAGGAGGAGGAGGAGGAGGAGGAGGCGGAGTTGTTTGGATTTGATATCCCGCCTTTCACTCCCCTTCAGGAGTCTCAAAGCGGCTAACATTCTCCTTTCCCTTCCTCCCCCACAACAAACACTCTGTGAGGTGAGTGGGGCTGAGAGACTTCAAAGAAGCATGACTAGCCCAAGGTCACCCAGCAGCTGCATGTGGAGGAGCAGGGAATCAAACCCGGTTCACCAGATTACGAGTCTACCGCTCTTAACCACTACACCACACTGGTGGTGGGGTGCATGTTAGCAAGATAAAGGCATATAAGCAAAACACAACTTATCTTCGTTGTACAGATGGATCAGAATTGAAGCCGGGGGGGAGGGGTGGAAAAAATTTGATATGCCGTCAACCAAGCAGAATCTCTGCAGAATTCTAAAGATCTGATCATCAGTGTCTTATATTTTCTTTTAAAAATTACCAAAATGTTAGGCCCTGATTTTCATCTTCTCTGGGATGGGACTGGTAGCGTCCCTCTACGGACAAGTTTTTGCTTTATATTAATTATAGTGCAGCAGAGAGACTTCATTAGCTTCATAATTCAAAGTGAAATAAAAGGTTTCAGAGGCAAAGAAAATATAGCTCAGTTAGTAGAACATGAGACTCTTAATCTCAGGGTCATGGGCTCAAGCCCAAAGTTGGGCAAAAGATTCCTACAATGCAGGGGGGTTGGACTAGATGACCCTCACAGTCCCTTTCAACTCTACAATTCTGTGATTCTCTGAATACCTCCTGAACCTTCCATTCAGGAAATTGATTTGCCTCTATTATCCTCATTTTGCGGCTTAACTGAGCTTCAGGACTGGCTGCAAACTACAGTTCTCATCAATTTATGAAGCACACAAGGTAGCAAAGGCTAAAACAAACTGCAAGAAGAAACAAGTCATATGGTATTGTAAATATTCTGAAGGATCCATCTTCCAAATATGTTATTTTCTTCCCTCTACCCATGGAGAGGAGAAGAAGGAGAACAAGGGAAGTGAATGCCTCCCACACCAAATGCCACCATGGGATCATCTCCCAAAGTCCAGCTGGGAAGTGACCTGTAATTTACAAAGTGTTTGTACAACTCCCATCACGTCCTAGTCAATGTCTTTAGGCAACTAATGCAATACAGATACACACTTAAAGCAATAATAATAATAATAATAATAATAATAAATCCTGCCAAACAATCATAACAGTGTTGTGCGTGGGGAGGGCATTGCTGGGCTGGGAAGTGGGGTGTACTGGATTTGGCTGAGGCCTGGACCCCAAGACAAATCAGGCCTATTTGGGAGGATTCAGACTTTGGTTGAGTCAGGTTGAGACATACCCAGATTGCTACAGATCGGGCTGAGCAGGCCAGATCTACCCAGGGTGGAAGGAAGGAAGGAAGGAAGGAAGGAAGGAAGGAAGGAAGGAAGGAGAGGCAGGGATGAGTGAGAACAAGGAAAAAATGCAAAAATGGGGCAAACTAATGGGCAGCTTCCTCTTTGCAAGAGAAAGGGGGGGATTTCCTTTCCCTCTAGGCCACGCTTACTTATCACCCTCTGAAGTGAGAAGCAGGATAAGATCCTGTCAAGCAGGAGGATCTGATCCTGCGCAGCGCTGCACTTCCACAAGCAACTTCCCTTGCACAGAGGGAAGCTGCTAACATAGGAGCACCACCACACAGGATCATATCCTCCTGTTTAACAACTGTTAAGTAGAAAGATCCAATCCTGCACAGTGCCAGTTGCTGCACCTTCACAAATGGCTTCCATTGCATTCCCTTAATTGGGAGAATTCTGATTTTATTTTTAAACCCTTTGTTACGGATATGTTAAAATAGGGTTGTTAAAAACCCTTAGTCCTGCCCTTGAATTGCTTTAGGAACAGATCAGGGACAGCACAGGGTAAATTAGCACGATCCAAGGGTCACAGTTCAGGACCACAGGAAAGACTGGGTGGAGAAGGGATCCATGTACAAGCCTAAAGGGAAACTAGTCCCCGCATGATAAAGTCTTGAGTGAAGGGAGCTGGTGTAATAGGAACCATGGGCATAGCCAAGGTGGGCAGCTGTCCCCCCCCCCCGTCAATCAAAATCAATAAACATAAATACAAATCTGAGGTTTTACTTCCCCTAACAAAAGCCTGCCCCCACCCCAACAAAAATCATGGTTATGCCTATGACAGGAACCCATCCTTAAAGTCCTTTCCCCCCAATCTTCACCACACAGCAGGGAGAAGAAGAGAGAACTGGTAGAGAATTGTTGTGTCCAAATAGTCATATTTCCTCAACATAAAAGGATGTGAAGTCTTAACTATGAATCTGTCCTACTGGTCTGGTTGGATGTCAGAAACATCTAAAAGAGCAAAAGCCCTATGCAAAAAGCTCCCAGAGGCCTCTCATATTCTCCTACATTTCACGTTTTGTGGCAGCCCATCCCTTTACCCAGGCGCAGCCAAGGAGAGGATCATTCTTATGCAGCAGCTGAAGCAAGAATGAGGCATTTCAGATGCAAGGACTGGTGCCTGGGATAAAACCAAGGAGCCAAAAGACTCAGTAAACAGACCCACAGTGTATAAAAGCCAAGTGTCACCCAAACTGCAAAAGTCCTGCAGTAGAGAGGAAGGAAAAATTATTGTGTGTCCCAGGAGTTGCTACACAAAGCCAAGGTTTGTTGTTAGGCACAGATCATGTCCCATCAGCTACACAAATTGCATAATAAAACTAAGCAGGTCCATCCAGCCCAGTTCCACTTGTGCTGAGAAGGAACAGCTAACAGAATGACATTGCAAGGCAACAGCACTCAGCAAGTATGACTTCTTTTTTAATCTTAAAACTCCCTAAAAGGTAAAGGGACCCCTGACCATTAGGTCCAGTCGCAAACGACTCTGGGGTTGCGGTGCTCATCTCGCTTTATGCCATGGCCGAGGGAGCCGGTGTGGTCATGTGGCCAGCAGGACTAAGCCGCTTCTGGCGAACCAGAGCAGCGCACAGAAACACCGTTTACCTTCCCGCTGGAGCGGTACCTATTTATCTACTTACACTTTGACATGCTTTCGAACTGCTAGGTTGGCAGGAGCAAGGACCGAGCAACGGGAGCTCACCCCATTGCGGGGATTCAAACCGCTGACCTTCTGATCAGCAAGCCCTAGGCTCTGTGGTTTAGACCACAGCGCCACCCGTGTCCCTAAAACTCCCTACCTTGATTATAATGGACATTGACACAAATCAATTTACTATGAAGAATTGTACCACTTCTAGGCATTGGCCAAACATTGCTGGCCATGTACTCTGGAGCAAATTGCCACTTGGGCTGAACACTCTGCACAGCTTTGTTCAAGGCAAACAGATGTCTGCTCCTGCTTTGTACCAAACGTCGCAGAGCCAACCTTGAAGGCAGGCCATGCTCATGTGCCTCAGTCTGAAGCAAGGGCATGTTGTTCTGGAAGACTAAGAGGTACATGTACTCCCTTGCACAAGGGCCTTTTGGAAAATTTCCACCACTACCCACATTTGCTTCCTAAGCAGTGGTGGGACTGTTCATTTTTACTCCTGTCATATATGACATGATGCTCAAAGAGCACCCTCACTTCACACCTTCTATTATCAAGAACAGCAACTATTTTGCTCCTTTGTGGAAACACAAGCAGGTAATTCAAGTAGAAGATACTCCATCTACAGCCACCTAAATCAAATCAAATCAAATACCTTTATTGGCATCACAGTATAAAACAGATTTAAAATCACTGGGATAATTAAAAGGACAAGGATGAAGCTGTCGAAGGTCATAAGGTCACACTGTGATCGTGTGCACTTATATATTCTGCTTCGCCCTGTCTGTTCCCCGAAGGGATGGTTCGTTAAGAACCCTTTTGGGTAAAATTGTGCAGCCACCTATATCTAATGTTGCCAGTTTGATGTTATCAGGATGGATACTATCATTTCCTTTCTCCCTCTAACCTTATTACCAACCTGTGGGCCATGGCTATTCCTCTCCTACAAGCAAGAAATCCAAGTCAAGAGAGACAACTTGTGTATGATGACTCAGAGAAACCACGACCAAGGAACAGAGCCAACCACAAGTCTCCATCCAATTCTCCATCCACTGGAGCATAAAAGGCAGGACTTGTAAGCTAAAGCAGTTTCCCAGTTTTCTAAATCCACCAGTCACTTGGGCACATGTAGGCTATGCCAAAGAAACAACCACAAAGCAACTTCATGGTTCTTTAAAGTGCTTGTGACAGCACACCTATGTCCTTCAAAGCAAGGTGGAAAACTGCCTTTGGTTTCCCATGGGTCATGGAGAATCATACCAAAGCCACACAAAGGCAGAGAGTTAGCTGCCACAGTGAGGAACAGAAACCAGCAAAATCCCCTTAATAGCTCTGCCACTGCAACCTCAACCTCGCCTCCTTTACCAGCAATGTGTGAAGTTATTCTTCAGGAATTTATTTAAAATGAACCAGCAGTATCTCTTATAACTCAAATGAGCTCTGGAAGCAAAGCTGGAAGAAGCATTGAACATATTTAAACAACAGCAGCAACAGTGATCAATAAGACCCTAGCCAAGACATCTTGTGTGGTTTTCCTCTACATAAATGCAACCTGCAAAAATTAAAATAAATAAAACATGCTGGAAATTTTGCAAATTCTGGCCTTGCTAAATCTTCTACTCTGCCACCCAGGCGGGGGGAGAAGGGACTCTAGGACTCAGAACAACTCTCCCATTTACAAACTAAATAAACCCAGACACAGCCTTTTCAAAAACTCAGCTACTGTGCTCCAGCACCACTGGCTTTTGGCAGGAGCAAAGCAGGAAAGCAAGGAAGCAGTAGGCATTTCTGATGAATAAAGCTCTCACACAGCGGTGTCTTGCATCCAGAGCAGGAGGATGATGGCGACCAACAAACAAGCACTCTCTCGCTTGCTGGGGAAAAAACAAACCAGGAAATGCCTCTAAGGCCTGTCACTTGCAGCTTCATTTCTGAGCACAGGGACAGCCAAACTCAATGGGACAGTCAAACTACCCCTCTTAACCAACTGCAGGGCAAGGAACCTCCTTCCTTTCCGGACACCCTTCCAAGGGCCAGATGTCGGTGGCAGGTGAGGACAGGGACAAATGTGAGGAGAGCCACAAATGTGACCTTCACCTTTGTACAGCAGGCTAGTTTCTACACAACTCCTATCTATCCTCCATCCAGGCAAGCAAGAAGCACTGCCAGAGTTCTAGAACACATTGCAGCCAGGGGGAAACACCCAAGCAGGCCTAGTGAGGTGTGTCACCTGAAGAAATGGTATACTCCTGGGCAGAGTCCCAAGGTAGAGAGGCCCAGACATCCAAATTTTTGCCCGCAGGCCTGAGTTTCCCCATCCCTAAGCTGGATGTTGCACCTGCTATATAAGAGTTTGCAGTTCAAAGCATCCCTTATAGCAGGAACATTTTAACTCACAATATCTAGGAAGTTCAACTCCAAGGATAAACCTGGAAATGCAGATAGGAAGGCAGGAAGGGCTCTCCCATTCCAAGGCAGTTGTGCAAAGTTACGCAAAACTGGATCTGTTGATGTCAGTACCACAAGTCCTCAACATCAGTAAATGACATACAGTAAAGTCAACAGCCCCGACTCTTCCCCCCACCCTCCCACATGTCCCCAAAGAGCACACAGAACATCAGGCT